CGTAAACAAATATGTTTGAATTTACTTGACGTAGAATGTATAATGACCGCAGAATAGACGAACGAAGTGGACGAGAGAAAATTTTCTCTTTTGATTACCGCTGTCCAGCGACTGCCGTTGTCATTTCTTTCTTCCAACACAATCACTATTGTTCGTGTTTTATATTTCAAATAAGCAGTTTACGGAATAAGTGGAAAGTCTGAGATTCGTCAGATGACAAAAAACCTATCTTTACTGCACTCGAAGTGAAGAGTACCAGCTAGAACCTATTATACCGCGCATCCTTCTTCGGATTTCTGAGTGCTGTTTCAAATTAACCAACGTTCTGCATTAGCAGAAGACAACGTTTTCTTCTTTAGTTTAAAATTTAAGCATTACAGTGCAGTCCAGAGCCAGTTTCTGAAAATTTCCAGTCCTACAGTTCATATCCTATGAAAAGCTCTGAAAAACGAGCTGAAAGCGCATTCAAAATGTCGTATTCCAACAGAGAAAAAATTGATAATATTTCATTTCGTTCGCTGATATTTTCAACTTTGGGACTGACACCATACATGTTTTATTGCGTTTTATTTGTTAAAGAAGGATAAGGGCATTTTTCATTCCAATATTTTCGGGAAATTTTTTTCTGTGTATATAATCCCCCGTAGCCGATATTCTAGTGGTCGCGAACATTTCTTAGTTTGCACTTCAGGAGGATATGTTTCGGAATTCCTTACAGTTCGACGGATGTGAAATTTATTATGCCGACTTTCTGTTTTGTATTTCACTATCTTAAGAGATAAGTGGAATTTTTTGTTTTGTTTCAAAGAGGACGTTTGGGAGGTTGTCTACTTTTAATCTTATTATTCATTCATCATCTAAATGGTACTTTCACTCCAGATAGAAGTGATTACGCGGCGTATGGTTTAAAAATAGCTATGAATGATATTCTTCTCGTTCAAGCTCAAAGTGCAAGTGATCCACTAACATTTCTTATTCAATTTGTACCGTATAATAATAGTCAAACATTATTAAACTGTTGCATTAATTATCCACATATAAAAACATTGGAAAAAGAGTTTTTTGTTCATCGAAAGATTGCTTGTGTAAAAATCGAGACAAAAGATTGAACGATGCATAGATGGAAGTGGCTATTTTTCAACTGCGTCGAAAGAAGAGGACAGGTTGTAGCAGCAAATGTGTCAATAGCATTTGTTGACGCGACGACAATTGAAACAAAATTCGTTTTCCTGTGTCACAACGAGCGTTTAATGTGAGAAAAAATTGTGTATGGAAGTGCTCTCCTCTTTGATCAACTTTGAGATTCTATAAAGAAATACATCAATCGAACAATGCTTGTATTGCTTTTAATGTGCAAACACCGAGAAGATTTACAGTTGTTCAGACACGTTCCGGCAGTTGTGATCGATATTTCTCTTTCTCTCTGAATTCTTTGTGCAGATGTTCATGGCCGAACGTACACTAATCGCTGGTCATAATTATGGTCCTCATACAGTCTGGACGTACTTCTGTTGGAACATGTATGATTTGTGCACCTTACATCCGATGAAATTATCTTTTTTGACCTTTTTTCCGCTTATTATCCGCTTAATTTTTCGAAAGACTTGAGGGCTGCGGAGTCTCCTACACACCTTTTGTTGCTCACCTCACTAATTTGTTCTAGTGGAATGCATTGATTCAAAAGAAAAAGTTAACGCAGGCATCATGTGCTCCGAAAATTTTGATTATTTTATTGAAAAAACTAGAAAACTGTGTAATTGAACAACAACTTTTGCGAAAAAAATCGAGTTTTGCAAGGCTTGAGAAACACCAGTGATAGTGAATCGTCAAATCATTTGGAAGTCACTCATGTGCAATGTCTGATAGAAAATCACAGTAACTCTTCATTCTCAGAGAAGAGCTAAGAGACGACGACGAGACCTTCGTTCCACCGATTTTTCCACAGAATGTATTGGCGACTAGTTTTGTCCAACTGTTCTAGATAAATCGATAGTTTCCTCTGTTTCCTCACGACAAATATTTTCTGTATTCTTTCCCATGGTAGCTCGAAGTGGAATTTAATTTTCTCTGATTTGTCTTGCTCGATGTTTTGCTTTGCATATGATCGAGCATTTTCCTCGATTTTTAGATTATCTCAGGATGTATCCTCAAATTAACGCAAATCAGCAGACAATGGAAGTCGATGGAGATCACCATGGCGCAATAGTAAAACAGTCATACCGTGAACAAACATATTGTAAGATTTTTTTTTTTTTACAGATTTTCATTTTCTACACTAAATAGGAAAGATTTTAGTATTGAAAGTTCAGTTTTGCTTCAACGCTTGTGATTTTTCCTCTAGGCACAAGGATTAAAACTAAAATGTGTTTTGAGATAATATTGTCAGTGCAATGGTTACCTTCGAAATCGGAATCGACTTTTTATTGAGGTCGTTCCTAGTTCTCCCGCTTATAATTATGACATATCATCCTAAAATACGCAGAATAGTCAATTACGCACAATCACTTTTCCACATCACTGAGCATTGAAGCCCGAACAAACGGTTGTGCACCCTACGAAAAAAATTTACATATATTTTGTTTTACTTTTAGTGAATAGACAACACTCAGGCGTGGCCGTCGAAGAAACCATTCGATGTGATCCGAATGGTCAAGTGAGTGCAGTCGAATACGTATTCGACGAACTACTGGGTGCTCCTAACAATGTTCAGCGTCATGAAGGAATAATTACGCGTGGCGATTATGATCGACTTGCTGCATCACTCCAACGGCCGTCGTTGCCATTCGATAGCTTCATCAGAGTACTTCGACCATTCAAGGATTTGTTCGTCAAACTCGAGGTCGGATTCAAATCAAAAGTAAAAAACTGTGAAGAGATCTCATCATTAGTAAACTGCAGTTATGATGGGTCCGCAGGCGTCACAGGATATACCTGAAGCATTTCGCCTCTTGGATACCGATCGATCGGGTACAATTGACATTGGTGAATTGGCTGCTTTCATGCCCGTTATTCGACCAGAAGCTACTCCGTACATGCTTCTTCATCATGTTGAGAAAGTGGACAAAAATGGTGACTACAAACTAAACTATGACGAATTTAACGCTCTGGTTTTGGCCGGAGTGGGACGAGACATCGTACTCGGACGTCTCTGACACATTTTTTTCTATCTCTACCATCCAGCAGTCGTAGGGTCAGGCAGTTCTTCTGTGTTAGCAGAACGTGATATGATACCTGTTCAAACTTACGAATAAAAGTATTGATTAGAAAATGGGTAGTACAATTTAATTAGCTCAGATAAAACGAAGGTCGGTTATTGTGCACTGACCATCGAAAGTAGGAACAAGGATACTTAGTTTGAGTTGGTCTTCGTCGATAATTAACAAAAAGAAATGATCTTACATAATTTCCTGGGCTACAATCGTGATTTATTAAGAGAAAGTTTTGGGGACTTTTCGAGGTTTCTGGAAAACCGCTCTAGGACGGCCTAGCAAAAGCCATAGCTGAAATTAATATTCAATTTTTGCTTATGAGCCATTGCATGTAAGCCACGACCGACGTTCTTCAATCGATGATCTAAAAATATTTTCAAACTAGAGGGCTCGCGTAGACCAAACACTTTAATGAACTTAGTGAAAGGCGCGCAAATCAAAAAGTTGTAGCGTTGTTGAGATATTGAAATTTTACGAAAAACTCAAAAAAACGTCGATTCCGCCGCCATCTTGAAAATTTGTCAACATTAGAATCTTGTAATTCAGTAACAACAGATTACTTAACCTTGGAGATTTTCTCGTAAAAGCAATATTAATAATCTTTCAAACGACCGACTAAAATCAGTTTTATACTGAGCAAAAAATACACCAGTTTCTTCGCATAGTAATTGTAACTGATTATACGTTAAATTCACGTCTCTACCTGTTTGCCTCTATTTATTTGTCTCTCTAGATTACTATATAGTCCTGATACAAAAACTGTATATATATATATAATATTCCTCCTGTTCCTTTCTTTTTGTTGGGGAGAGCAGAAGGTAGTAAAAAACTAGAATATAAAACAAAAATCAACAACCAAAAACAGAAAAAGGTAATCAGTTAAACATCGTTAAAAGAAAAGATCTCTTGTCTATCATAAAAAATTTTATGATCTCATAACCCTTTTTTTACTCCTATATGAAATTATTTCTCTTTAAAGTTGTAGTGAACTGTACAGACCATATTGTTGAAAAATGTAACACTACACAGGAATACATTCAGATAAAGGATTAAAAGTAATTGTTCCCTTCTAATGCAGCTTGAGCTGGATGCTTTTACATGTTTCTTTTTGTGTATGTACACTATATTATGAACATATACGTTATCCTCTTGTATTTTTCTCTAACAACGTCGCCGATGCAAAATTAAGCCAGGAACTTTAATATCATTGAAAAAAGGTTGGCATAAGTGTTATTTGAAAATAAAGAAAATCTTAATACAAAACGGAATCGCGATCCAATGGATTACTTTATATCAATTTGCAATTTAAACCAAATCTTTATCGTCTTCCTACTGCTTTGGCCTACGGAACCATATAAAACCGTTACACGAGTCACACTGTACAAAACACCTACTACTTTAATAAAACAGAAGCAAGTAGTGCACGTAAAAAAGATATTTTTCTTTTTACATGATTATCCTTCAGAAACATAGAAACGAGCACTTTAAATCGACGCAGTATGATTGACCAATGACGAAAAAACCAATAACTTACAAAAAGAAAACTTCTACTATTCATACAAAAACCATTTTATAGACGTAATACAGAACAGCAACACAGGTGAAATTGATTCACATTTCTAAACATACTTTCGTATAATCAAAAACAGCATGTACGATAAATGTTGAATTAATATACTGAATTGAGATCTTTAACTGCCGATACGTTTTGTCGAATTTGTTCAACATATTCTCAATAAATAAAGAAAACTCTTTTTACTCGTTCTGCGGCTTGCGTTTTTTACTGTAAAAGATTTATTAAATACTCTTCCACTTAATACCAATATCCGTAAGGACTGACTTACTACTAATATCCGTTTTAAATGTTGAATCATACATAAATCAATTTTTCACCATCTTCACAGATACGCAGATTTTTAAAATTATAACTTTTTTGACTGATGTCTAAATGGAAAACTTGTGATACACATATGTTGGAGACATTTCAGACGTACTTTTTCGCAATCAAAGCAATAAAAGCATTAAATATGCACTTTCTTCTCCCGAATAAACCATTGTGCGCTTTTCTCCAGTAGAAGAATTACTTCCTTTATCATATTTTGAAATCATTGTAATTGAACGTGGGGATACAAGTTGACCGCAAATTGTTCGTAATGAGTGTCTCCAATATAACAAAAAATCTTATAGCACGTAGACCATGAGAGTGACTTCCACACATCTTGGAACTCAGAGACTTCCTGACATACTGAATCCAGTGGTGAGGTCGGTTTCACTCGGTCTTGAAATTCATAATGAGATTCTAGAAAACCTGGTTTTGGCCTGGAGAGGTTTTGCCGATATCTTTTTAAAAAAGTATGTGGTAGTAGAGTTATTTAGTAAATATAAACATATAATAAAGCACATGCTTCTCTATCCAAAACACCTTCTGTTTACAAAAAAACATTATTCTCTTAAGGATCTGTCAAGTTTTCTGCTATTTGCACTGAAAATTTCTCATTTTGGCGGCAAATAGTTAGCAAGATTCATACAATATGCTTTGCT